TTTATATACAAGCCCAATGTTTAAAATGAAAAACAATGGCTGGCTTTCTAAAACCTGCGAAATGACAAGAGGCATTAGGCAAGGATGTCCTATTTCCGCTCTCTTGTACCTCTTTGTCGCAGAAATTTTGGCTATTAAGATAAAATGTGATAAGGACATCAAAGGCATAACAATCAATAATTGCGAAATTAAAAACATCCAACATGCGGACGACTTAACTGTAGCTTTAAAAGACGAAATGTCAATGAAGCGCACTCTAGATAAATTACAAGAATTTTGTGAACATGCGGGATCAAAAGTAAACATACATAAAACAGAATGCATTTTGTTAGGGGAACTAAAAAAGATGTATAATGAACTCCACGGCATAAAAATCACGAATAAAGCAGTAAGATGCTTAGGAATCTTCATTGGACACGACAAGGAAGAATGTTACACTAAAAACTGGATGAAAATTTATCACGATATTGAAAAACTTTTTGAATCCTGGAAAAGAAGAAAACTTACGTTATTTGGTAAATCATGTATAGTAAAGACACTTGCGATATCTAAACTTACATATGTTGCTTCAATACTTAGTCTTCCTGATATTGCTTACATGAAAAAAATACAACGTCTAATTTATAACTTTATTTGGGATAAAAATGAACGAATTAAACGAAACACGCTAATAGGTAGAATTTCAAAAGGTGGCCTCTCAATTGTTGATATTGAATGTAAATTAAAAGCTTTAAAAGCGGCTTGGGTACCTAGGTTGTTAAGAAAAAAAGGTATTTTGTACAACATTTTTGATGGCTATTGTAAAAAATTAAATTTTGATGCTCCCTATGCGTTAAGTTTCTCCGATAGAAAGAAAGAAAATATAGAGAAACTACCTATTTTCTATCAACAAATGTTATGTTGCTTCAATGATTGTAAGCCTTATTCTTTGAACAAAATCTCTTCCGATAATATTCTTCAACAGCCGATATGGAACAATTGTAACTTTGTTTATAGAGGAAATACATTATTTTTTAAAAATTGGATAGTCAGTGGGATTTTACATGTTAAGGATTTGTTTGACGATGATGGTAATTTCAAATCATTGTCAGATTTTTCGAAGGGTATAAAAAACAAGTCAAACTGGTTGTGTGAATATAAAATTCTTACTTCTGTTTTCAAACCTTTACTACGAAAGTATGATTTTTCAAATTGTAAGTTTGTGAACATACGTTACAGAAATTATTTTCTATTCTACACAGGATATGTTAATGTCTTAGATCAAAGATGCAGATTTTTCTATGAAAATTTTGTACACAAGAAATTTTGTAAACCGTGCTATCAAACAGTTTTAAACAAAGAGTTCAGTGTTGAACCTGTAGAATGGAAAAATATATATCAATGTAAATTATACGACATACCCGATAGACAACTTACAGAATTCAACTATAAACTTTTAAACAATATTCTCTGTAATAATTTCTATCTCAGTAAATGGAAAAAAGAAACGAACAGCCAATGCAAATTATGCCATGTGAACGAAACTTCAAAACATCTCATTTTTGAATGTAAAAATGTTATTGAAATATGGAACAGATTAAGTTCTTATCTGAAAATAGATATCAAATGGAAACATGTAATGATTGGATTTAGTTCTGAGCGTAATAGAAAAATTGTATCACTCAATACACTCATCTCTTATGTTGCCTATAGAATTTACAAATATAAGATGAACTGTCGACTACATTCCTTGGATGAAACTAGCTACAACATTTTTAATCATGTTAAATATTCAATAATTTTCTATGCTTCCATTCTGAAAAATTTGAACTCTCTTGTAGACTACAGGCTTTTTAAAGATTTTGCCTAAAATATTTTCGAATGCATGTTTCAATTGCTTTACATTGTATTAAGTCAATATTGTCATATTATCTTAAGTTCGTAATGTAACTTGTTCTAAATATGTTATATATATATTTCTATGTTTGTTTTTATTAAGAAATAAAAATAAAATATGAAAAAAAAAAAAAAAACAAAACAAAAAAAAAAAACTTTAAGTATTTTGACAAATAACACTTCGTGCAATTCCTTTTCTCATCGTCAATCTATACTTGGATTTTGCAGGCTACGGTAAAATATGTTTTGTCGAATCTGTGGCTACTAGTAATTAATTACAACGAACGCCCTCCTTCATTAACCTGCGCATTCCTTTTTTTGTCGCCTGTAGAGCAGCGTGACATTAGGGATCACTTTACCTGGCGTCTGTCTGCTTGTCTGTCCGTCTGTCATACCTTTTATCTCGAGAACTGTAAGAGGTATGGATTTGATATTTTGCATATATATTGCTTGGCACTATGGCTTTTGTAAATTACCATGGTTACCAACCTCGTCACCCTTGGCTTTGACCTTTGACCTAGTTTAACAAGTAGTACCTAGTGCCAGTATACAGCATATTTTTGAAATTTTAAGGATATCTACTGTTGTTCATAAAACATAATAAAAAATACCAACGTTACAATCCACATGTTTTTGACCTACTTTGCAAAAAAGGACCTCACAGTGTGTGTGATTTTTTTAGCTCACCTGAGCCGAAGGCTCAAGTGAGCTTTTCTGATCAAAATTTGTCCTTTGTCTGTCGTTGTCGTTGTAAACTTTTCACATTTTCATCTTCTCCAGATCTACTGGGCCAATTTCAACCAAACTTGGCAGAGAGTATCCTTGGGTGAAGGGGATTTAAGTTTGTTCAAATGAAGGGCCAGTCCCTCTTCCAAGGGGAGATAATTAAGAAAAAGCAAAAAATTAATGGCATTATTGAAAAATCTTCTTTTTAAGAACCAATGGGCCAGGAAAGATGAAAGTCATGTGGAATCATTTTCAGGTAGTGTAGATTCAAGTTTGTTCAAATCATGACCGCCGGGGGTAGGATGGGGCCACAATAGACGATCAAAGTTTAACATAGTAATATATAGGAAAAATCTTCAAAATTCTTCTTCTCAAGAACAGCAAAGGCGTGATTGGTCGTATTTATGTGAAAGCATCCTCAGGTAGTGTAAATTCAGGTTTGTTAAAATCATGTCCTCCGGGGGTAGGGTGGGGCCACAATTGACGATCAAAGTTTTACATAGGAATACATAGGAAAAATCTTTAAAAAATCTTCTTCTCAAGAACAGCAAAGCAATGATTGGTGATATTTATATTGAGGCATCCTCGAGCTCAGGTCGTGTAGAATCAAGTTTGTTCAAATCATGACCCCCGGGAGTAGGGTTGAGCCACAATGGACGATCAAACTTTAACATAGGAGTATACTAGTATAGGGAAAAGCTTTCCAATACTAAACTGATTTTTGCTTTTTTCCTAGCCACAGTGCTCAGGTGAGCGATGTGGCCCCTGGGCCTCTTGTTTATTTTAAGAAGCAGGTTTTTATTATCAGGATTTATAAATGTTTATGAACTCATGATACTGTACTTTGAAATTGTATGGTATTCAGATACCACAGAAACTTGTGTCTCAATGTTATTAAAATACACCGGGATCGGTATTCCACAATGGATCGTTTAGACTGAAAATTGCATTAAAGACAGACTGAAATCTCTTTTGGATGATTGTTGAAAACATTCATTAATAAATTGTTAAATACATGTAATTATTTCTAATAATTTCAACTTATTCATTTGTAGGTCAGGGGATATATATTCTCTTTGATTAACAGAGCCTATCTCAGTCTTATACCATCCGTGAATGTTTTGTTTTTCTTTGAAGGTAATTGCATGATCTATTACAGTGTATTTTGTAGATAATAAATAGCTGACCATTCTTAGATCTATTTACATATTTAATGAAGCTACAAAGCTGGCGACACATGCGTTCCTTGGAACACTCAAAATAGTAAATAGTAATGCATGTATAATACTTCAAACTGATTTTAGTTTCTTTTCATTAGGTTTCGTCTCATTTCGTGTCATTGGTTTTGTTTCGATTTTGTTTTACAGTTTACAGTACCCTTCGGGGACAACCCCCCTCCCCCTAAGTTCCTACTTGCGTAATTTACACCGTTGTAAAACATGAGAGAAATACTAATGCTAGCAAAATTTTGGCATATTGGAGTTTGACCTACTTTAATTTTGGCTTAACTATTGAACGGCTGGTGCTAGGGATTTTATATTTCACAGATGTATTCCTGGTGAACAGTTTTTTTTTTCTTTGGGTACCAACATTCTTCACCTCTTGACCTTGGAGGTTGACTTGCAGTTGAGAAACTTTACCTTTTGAGAAACCTTCGCCATAGACTGCCATACGGGTGCATTTGTGTTTCACAAACACTCCTTGTTACTAATAAAAACGTCTAATATATATTTTATGTATGATATTGTCATTATTTTTATTTTTTCCTTGTCACTTTTATACCAGTATAACAGTTGATGTCTTTTAGCAAAATCTTCTCTGTACAAGGTCTTATATGGCGATGCATTAAAACTGTACTAAACCGATTGATTTCGAGCTGATTTGCTCGGTAATGATGAGTAGTTAGCCTACGTTAATAAATCATTAATTCACGTCGAAACTTTCCAGTGCTCAGGGCTTAGAGAGTTTAAAATATAAAGACACTGTGTTTAACTGTGACACTGTGGGCTGAGGCACGTATAAAAGTTTTCATGATTACAATGAGCAGTAAGCACTCTACCAAAACTTATGAAATTTATGTTCAACAGGTCTAAGGTTAACATATCATGTTGGGGATATTTTGGTTATACTTGTACCATTTTCCCAAAATCTACTATTAATAAACTAGGAACAAGCTTTCCAATATGATAGGGAACATAAAGTTCTCACCAAAATCCTGTCACATAAGTCCAGAGCCACAGTAATAGATTGGGCTTATCTGGTCATGTCGAGAAACTGTTAAAACTCGAGTGATTCTCAAAGACCCATGGTCTCTTGTATGAAGAGTATTCAAGAAAAAAAGAATGCACTGTCTGTGATACACTGAAATCTTTTAAGACCCATACATCTCCTTTTTTTAGATGCTAGAGTCGGATAGAGAAGCTGACTACGGCGAAGAAATTACATCAGCGAAAGGTTTAGCTAATACGGATAAAACGGGTATCAATAAAAAACAACTCTTCGTGAAACAATGGGGAGAAAAACCGTTTCTTGGAAGAAAACAGCCAACATATCCTGTCAAAAGTAATCCAAAGAAGAAAGTTCCATGTCCTGACTGCACATCTTATGAAAAAAAGGCCCCAGCTTCTGATGTATCCTCGTCTACAGCACAGGTAGTTCATATCCCACGCCAAAACAGTCACAAGAGTCCTAAACTTCCAACAGAGAGGTCTACACTTCCTTCTCCCGCAAAAAAAATTAATGACATCTGCAAAGATAATACTGTTGGTAAAACGGCTGAAGACAACGTTGAATTTTCTCAAGAATATAGAGACAAAAAGAAGGTAAACAGCCTATCTTATCCGCTAAGTAATGAAGTAGGTAATGAAGTATTTCATTCGCCAACTAAATCAAAGCCAGGAGTTAAATTGGGAAAACATAGTTTTATTTTCCTAAAATCAACGAAAAGTGACAAGAGTAAAAGTATTATTTTGACCTTTGGTGCGAGTAAAGATGCATATATGCCACACTTAGAAAAAGGAGCTACAAATTCATCAAGTACTAGTAACATGCAAGAGTACAGTGCAGTGTTTAGAAAAGTGGTATGTACGAGGTTGTTGGAAAAGTTCGCGGAAACATTGATTTACGGAAATTTTATTGTGTACTTTGAAGAATGACGTATGTCTGATTTAATCCTTATCTTTTGTTTATAAGTATGTAAAAAATCAGGTACATTTGCTAAAATTTTGAAAATATACAATCATTTTTACTGTGCTGTCATAGGATTCAAGGAGCAGTCACTTGACGAGTTGATGTAGGTGACGTGACAACCTGGGTCGAAATTTGTTAAGTTTTTAGCTCACCTGAGATGAAAGCTCAAGTGAGCTTTTCTGATCACATTTTGTCCGTCGTCCGTCTGTCTGTCCGTCCGTCCGTCTGTAAACTTTTCACATTTTCGACTTCTTCTCCAGAACTACTGGACCAATTTTAACCAAACTTGCCACAAAGCATACTTGGGTAAAGGGGATTCAAATTTGTTCAAATGAAGGGCCATGCCTTCTTTCAGGGGAGATAATTAAGAATTTATGAAAATTTGGTGGTATCTATTAAAAATCTTCTTCTCAAGAACCAATGGGCTGAAAAACTTGAAACTTACGTGAAACCTTCATTACATAGTGTAAATTCAAATTTGTACAAATCATGAACCCCGGAGTAGGGTGGGGCAACTATGGGGGGTCAAATTTTTAAATAGGAATATATAGGAAAAATCTTTAAAAATCTTCTTCTTAAGAACAACAAAGCCACAATTAGTCATATTGATGTAGAATCATCCTCAGGTAGTGTAGATTCAAGCTTGTACAAATCTTGACCCCCCCCCAGGGTAGGGTGGGCCACAATGGGGGATCAAAGTTTTACATAGAAATATATAGAAAAAAATCTTTAAAAATCTTCTTCTCAAGAACAACAAAGCCACAATTAGTCATATTGATAATGAATCATCCTCAGGTAGTATAGATTCAAGTTTGGTCGAATCATGACCCCCGGGGGTAGGGTGGGGCCATAATGGGGGATCAAAGTTCTGCATAAAAATATATAGGAAAATCTTGAAAAATCTTTTTGTCAAAAAGAACAAAGCCACTATTAGTCATATTGATAATGAATCATCCTCAGGTACTGTAGATTCAAGTTTGTACAAATCATGACCCCCGGGGGGTAGGGTGGAGCCACAATGGGGGATCAAAGTTTAACATTAATACATATGTGAAAAAATCTTTAAAAATCTTCTTCTTAAGAACAACAAAGCCATAATTAGTCATATTAATATGGAAGCATCCTTATCAGGTAAAGTAGATTCAAGTTTGTTCAAATCATGACTCCTGGGGGTAGGTTGGGGCCACAATTGGGGATCAAAGTTTACATAGGAATATATAGAAAAAAAATCTTGAAAATCTTCTTCTCCAGAACAACAAAGCCACAACAAAGCCACAATTAGTCATATTGATATGGAATCATCCTCGGGTAGTATAGATTCAAGTTTGTTCAAGGCATTCTCCAGTAGTAGGGTGGGGCCATAATGGGGGATCAAAGTTTTACAAAAGAACATATCCATGTTTAAGAAATATCTATAAATATTTTCTTCTCAAGAACAACAAGGCCATGGTTAGTCATATTGATATGGAAGCATCCTCAGGTAGTGTTGTTCAAATCATGATCCCCACCCCTATCCCCACCCCCTACCCCCGCGCCGGGTAGGGTGGCAGACATCTTTATAATTCCGTTTTCAAGAGCAGCAAAGCCATGCATGATTAGTTATATAAATATAGAAGCATCTGCAGAAAGTTAAGATCCAATTTCATTCAAAACATGGCACCTGGGGTAGGGTATGCCTGGAACAGGCAATCAAAACTTTACATATGAATATATAGGAGAAGAAATCTGCTGACGAAGAACAGCAGGGACATATTGACTCATGTGAGTGTTGTGGCCCATGGGCCTCTTGTTTCACAGTTCTAAATATCTTTCACTTCAATAGACTTTTCATGTCTTTTTCCTACTTAAAAATGAATATCTATATCAAGACATGTTTACTTTTTTTCCAAAAATGTCTTTTGTGGCGTATTGGATATTAGTGAGAACTTAAAATCTATGTATACGCAGGAGTTGCTCATCAAAAATGTCAATTCTTTCATTCTTACAAAGCTACTACCATTTGAACATTTTGGTCCTAGATTCGTGTAGACATTCCCCAGCAGCATAAAAAAACACTCTAGTCTCTTTCGGGTATTTTCCTGTCTGTACACATAATTTTTAGCTCAAGTGAGCTTTTCTGATCACCTGTTGTCCGTCCGTCACTTTTCACATTTAAACTTCTCAAGAAACACTGGGCCAATTTTGACCAAAGCTGGTACAAAGCATCCTTTGGTGAATTGTTTGGTTTAAATTGATAAAATGAAGGGCCAAGCCCCCATACAAGGGGAGATAAACCACACTGCTCAACGCGTTATCGGCTATTCGGTAGTTATCGGGCATTCGGTGGATAACAACTTTTGACAGATTAGTAAATTGTTGCAAATAAACACTGTAAAAATAAAACAGAGAATGTTGATTGTGCTTTTTGTGAACAGGGATGAATACAGATACGAAATAAAGCCCCAATATATCTTATTATAGTATCTGTGAGTCTTGGGAAGACTTTAAAAGTCAGATTTGTTATATTTTGCAAGTTTTTGTTTGATTGTCATTGCTGCATATAGCCTCTTTCTTCAAAATACGTATATTTACCTTACATTAATTATTGTCCACAATATGACATCGTCAGAATCTCGCAAAGATGTAATTAAAGGGTAAAATTCCCGTTTTTTAACTTTCAGGATGTTATCGGAAATACGGTTGAATGGTTCACTTTGTTACCGGAAATTTCGGTTTTTGTTATCGGAAACAAAGGTTGTCATAGCTTAGGAAAAATGTAAAGAAACAACAGAAATCTTTACTAAATCAAAATATTTGAAGTGGCAGGCACACATTTCTAATTTTTGGCTATCATTTGTATCATTTTAGAATATGTAACTTTAAAAATGAGTGTTTTGTTTTGAGTGTTTTTGGCATTTCTCATAATCACTGAAATGTGTATGATCTTCACATGTTCGAAAATATGGTATAAGTTTTAAAACCTCTGAATTACAAATCTCTATTGTAATCAAAATACAAATTCCAGATTTAATAATTGCGATTCTTACGTGGTATTATTCGCAATATAAAAGCATCGCGATAATCGGTGAATTCACAGTAATTTACTCTTAGTTTTCTGTGTGTTGCCTTTCAGTTACGCACTGTTCTTAGCTTTTGTCTCTGTTTTCCTTGCTTCGTCTTTATTCGTTGAATTTGCATTCTTGATCTACCCTTAGACGCCCTTTGGTAGTGCTAATTAATTTGGATTTTGGATCTCAGTCTGTGATTGTCCATAAAATAAATAAACCATTTTGTTTAATAGAATAAATCGATTTTGATTTCTACAAAAGCTAAAATGTGATGAAATATTCCGAAATTTTTATAAAATATCATTTGAAAGAGCTGCATATCTTTAGAAAGAGAGCGATTTGGTTTGTGCTTTTTGCTGCTGAAAGTATAATCATTTATCTGCCAAAGATCACAAACTTTGTTTTCTGAAGTTCGCAATTATCGCTGAATGAAGAAATTTAAAATCACATATGTTTTCTAAACATTGTTTTCCTTCCACCGAATGCCCGATAACAACCGAATAGCCGATAACGCGTTGAGCAGTGTGTAAACAAGAAAAGACAAAAATAGGGTGGGGTCATTAAAAAATCTTCTCAAGAACCACTGGGCCAGAAAAGTTGAAACTTACGTGGAAAAATTCTGGGGAAGTGTAGATTCTAAATTGTTCAAATCATGAACCCGGGGATAGGGTGGGGCCACAATGGAGAATCAAAGTTTTACTTATATATAGGAAAAATCGTTAAAAATCTTCTCCCCAAGAACCACTGGGCCAGAAAAGCTGAAACTTACATGGAAGCATCCTGGTATAGTGTAGATTCTAAATTGTTCAAATCATGACCCCCGGGAGTAGGGCGGGCCACTGTGTGAAACCAAAGTTTTACATTGAAATATATTGGAAAAATCTATAAAAATCTTCTTCTCAAGAACCACTTCGCCAGAAAAGCTGAAACTTACAAGGAAGCATCCCAGTGTAGTGAAGATTCTAAATTGTTCAAATCATGACCCCCGGGGAATAGGGTAGGGCGCATTACAGTGGGGAAAATCTGGTGAAAAACAGCAGGTCCAGCGTTACTCAGGTGAGCGTTGTGGCCCATGGGCCTCTTGTTTAATAGTTCGGTGCTCCAAGACGTTCAATGACGTTGCCATTCTTGACTTTTTTACGCAATGTTCATTTATAATTAGCGATAAAACAGTCATAATCCCTCCGATTTATGAATATTTTAGTGACAGATGAAATATCTCGAAGATTTATGCGCTACTTCAGTGCAATTTTCAATTTTAAAAAGAAATGTCTATATGTAATGTAAACGTGCAGAAAGGTGACATGCTCCGTGAAGCATGTTTCCTCTAAGTTAAATAGCTGTATATTTTTGAAAGCTATATAGGGCGTATCTAAGCTAAAAAAAAAAAAAAAAAAAAAAAAAAAAAAAAAAAAAAAAAACGAGAATAAGTGTAGATACACTTGATATATGTTATTTACGTTCAAATTAAAATTTTCAGCGATTTTAAACTCCAATAACCAACCTCATGTTTCCTTAGTTAAATTGAAATAAACTGTGTCTGCTTTTTAAATGCGGAGTCGGTAAATAAATCGGTTATTGTTTTAAATTTCTAATATCTTTGAAACGTGATTGATTTATATGTGTAATTTACAGGAAAGTCCTATCTTTTTGTAAAGTAATAAAACAAATAGAAAGATTTTTATAATTTTAGTTAGTCTGAACTTATAAAAAAAAATACGCCATATATGTCTTTAAGGATCAGCGAACAACACCAAATATGTGCACATTAATTGGAAAGTACGTTTGTCCGCGAACTTTTCTAACAATCCTCGTATGCATGTAATTATACAAATTAATCAAAATATAAAAAGTTAGGGAATGTTTAATTTTAGGTGACTAATGATCTGTTAAGGACAGATAATACAAACAAACTTTTTCAAAAATCTTAAAAAATATCAGCTTGAGTAATATTTATATGATTAATAGGTTTTACCGTAAATATTTAACTTTTTCATTCAAAGTTTAGCAATAATGGGATTTTAACTGACAAAAACTTGCATAGATTTAATGAGGATGATAAGAGAAATGTAGATTTTGAACAAAATAGAAAGTTTACAATTACTTTGTAATTCATATATTTATGATTCGCATCGTTTGCAACCAAAATAAGTCAAAACAAGATGTGTTAGTGAAACACTGATACCTCCGTATGGCAGTTTATGGCGAAGGTTAAAGTTTCTCAAATGCAAGTCAAACTCCAAGGTCAAGGTCAAGAGATAAAAAATGTTGTTACCCAAAGAAAGGACTTGTGTCATTGGATATACCTAGTAAATATGAAAGCCCAAGCCCAACCATTCAAAAGTAATGGTCAAAGACAATGTTTTCTAAAAGTGGGTGAAACTACAAGGTCAAGGTCAAAGGATCAAAATTAATGGTACGCAGGTTAGACCTTGTAATAAGAAATATACATGCAAAATATGAAAGTCCTAGCACCAACTTTTCAAAAGTTATGGCGAAGGTTTAAGTTTTTCAAAAGTAGGTCAAACTCCAAGGTCAAAAGGTCGAAATTTTTGGTAGCCAAAGGAAGGTCTTGTCACAAGAAATATACCTATGAAATTTGAAAGCCCTTGTACCAACTGTTCAAAAGTTATGGCCAAGGTTATAGTTTTTTAAAAGTGGGTCAAACTATAAGGTCAAGGTCAAAAGGTTAAAAATATTTACACCTATGGAAAGGTCTTGTCACGATGAATAAACATGTGAGATATGAAAGCCCTAGCACCAACCATTCAAAAGTTATGGCCAAGGTTAAAGTTGGGTAAATTTTTGCAAAAGTTGGTCAAACCCAACGGTCAAGGTCAAATATGTTGGTACACAAAGGAAGGTCTTGTCGCAAGAAATACACATGTGAAATATAAAAGCCATAGCTCCAACCAATCAAAAGTTATGGGCAATGTTAAAATTTTTGCGGACAAACATATACACAGAAAATCAGACAGACAGACAGACGGACGGACAGGGCAAAAACTATATATCCCCGAATCTTCGATTACGGGGACATGAATATATATACCAATCCAGCATAGAATTTTTGTTTGTGTCCTTAAGTACGATAAGATATATTGACCATATGTCTGTAATTAAAAATTTTTTTGAAGACACCAGATCTTCTGCCGGAGAGAAAAGAGCCAGCTAATGTTGGGATCAAAAATCATTACAGAACTCTTGCAGAGAACACCAAGAGTAACGGGGAAAAAATGATTGGACAGTATGAAAAGGCGATATATGGAGAGTAAGTTTAAATAATATTGATATTACATATTTTTTAAACCTTGCCAGTTTATAAGCTCACCAGAGCCAAAAGCAAAAGCAAGTAAGATATCCTGATCGAAATCTGTTGTTTGTTGTCGGCATAAATTTATCACACTTTCAGAGTGTCATTGGGTTAAGGGAATTCAATTTTTATTGGAGGACTATGTCCACTTTGAGGAGGGATAATTAAGAGAAAAAAAGGGGAAAGGTCATTTAAAATATTTTGCGTCAGAAAAGATAAAAAAATTACGAGTTCCTAAAATTGCAAATAAAATCCGGTATATCTTATACCGGATATCAATTGCAATTTAGGTACTCGTAATTTTTTACAATACAATAAACAATACAATGAAAGGGTCTTCCGCTGAAGATAGAAGACCTTAGTAACTAGATCTAATCTGGTTGTGGGCATAATATAAGATAGGATTTGTCATTTTAAAAAAATATTAAAATCTATCTAATGTTGGTGTTTTAAGGAGAGTATTCAATGATCTTTTGTTCAAAATGCCTTCCTACCTTTCATTCTTTATACAATGTATGTTGATAAATTTAGCATTGTGGTCCATCTAGCATTCAGTGATGTTCTCCGCCATTCAAAATACAGAAAAAAGACCTTGTTTCATGATTTGGAAGTAATTTAAATATTTTGGGGGAAAAATCAAATCGTTGTAATTTCATTCTCTTTGACCTCCAACAGAATCCAAAACACATTGTATGATTTTCTCTCTCTTCCCTTCAGAGTGGCCTTGTTTTGAAAGTTCAGACTTATTAATTTTTATGCCCCTAGGCCGAAAGATCCCGGGGGTATATTGTTTTTGTCCTGTCTGTCTGTTTGTCTGTTGTAAACTTTAACCTTGCCCATAACTTTTGATTGATTAGAGCTATGACTTTCATATTTCACATGTGTATTCCTTGTGACAAGACTTTTCTTTGGGTACCATCATATTTGACCTTTTGACCTTGACCCTGGAGTTTGACCCACTTTTGCAAAATTTTATGAGACTTTAACCTTGGCCATAACTTCTGAACAGTTGGTGCTTTGGGTTTCAAATTCACATGTGTATTCTTTGTGACAAGGCCTTCCTTTGGATACAAACAACTTTGACCTTTTGACTTTGACCTTGTAGTTTGACCTACTTTTGAAAAACTTTAACCTTGACCATAATTTTGAACAGTTGGTGCTTGGGGTTTCAAACTTCATATGTGTATTCTTTGTGACAAGGCTTTCCTTTGGATACCGACAACTTTGACCTTGACTTTGTAGTTTGACCTATTTTTGAAAAACTTTAACCTTGGCCATAACTTTTGAACAGTTAGAGCTTGGGGTTTCAAACTTCACATGTGTATTCCTTATGCCAAGACCTTCCTCTGCATATCAACCTCTTTGACCCTCAGGGTTCTCCACAAGGGGTTTTACCATGGCGGCCCGCCATGGTTAAATTTATGTGCGCCATGGTTAAACGAGCTGCGCCGTGGTTAAAATCGGCGGCCGCCATGGTTAAATTTTTATTGCATTTTAGTATTTACACCTACTTTTTAATGACTTGAACAGTTAATTCTGTTTATACTACGACTGCCATGCATCTGGCATGCCTCGAGGGAAAGCGGGCTGTGCTAAACAAACACGGTCGCTGATCGGCGACTATGCTGTGAAGCGTGACAATGGAGGGTCAATCAGCTGAAGATCAATATCTTGAGAATTAATTATCCTTTAGTACACAAACATGTAATTTCGGGAAATTCCAACGTGTTCACTATATGATAACAGATCATAATGAGCAGTAGGTATGCCCAGAAAAAATGAGCCCTTTCAAAATTTCCTATTCTTTGTATTTAATCAATTCCTCATGCTTTGTTTTTAAGTATTAACTTTATTATCTTTCTGATAAAATATACGTAAGTGCCAATTGTCGTCTTAGTTTTAGAGTTACTTCCCGTTTTTATGAAACTTCGCGTGGCACTATTTTTAGCACGGGCACGTGGAGGAACAAACAATGGAGGAAACTCAGCGAAAATGCAATATGTAGAAAAAATAACGTTAAGAAAAAGACAGAATAATGAAAGCAAAATTACAGTAATGCAAATTAATGCGCTTGGTTATACTAAGTTACTTTTACCATGTATGCCACCAGTAAGTTTTCATAGATCATGCAGTTAAAAAAAGCTTAGGCATTAGTAGGATGTCGGCTTTCGTTTGTTTCTGTGTCTATTAACTTTTTTTTTAAAATTACTACCAATTCATCAGTTTTAGTCATATTTAAATAAAACGTTTTATATAACAGGCAACATCAATTCTGTATATCAGTTTTTGAATACTGTTGCCATGGTTACTCTATCAAAATATTATTTTGAAATTCCTTCAAAATGTTCCTACAGTTTTGGACAATTTTGGTACATTTGTAGAGTAATTAAGATACATAATCCTTTTTTATTTTTAATTTTTTAGCTTAAAAAATTATTGGTTATTTCAACTTTTTGTGATGCAGTGGTTAAGCTTTGTGAATTAACCAATCATTGATTAATGAAGGTTAGGAAGTCTAACATGCATTCGTGTTTGTAGTCGCATTGCGCCTTCGCGCAGCCTCCTCCATGGTTAAATTTTCAAATGTGGAGAACCCTGGACCCTATGACCTTGACCTAGGAGTTTGACCTACTTTTGAAAAACTTTAACCTTGGCCATAACTTTTGAACGGTTGGAGCTTGGGCTTTCATACTTTACATATGTAATCCTTGTGACAAGACCTTCCTTTGGATACAACCACTTTGACCTTTTGACCTTGACCTAGGAGTTTGACCTACTTTTGATCAACTTTAACCTTGGCCATAACTTTTGAATGGTTGATTCAAGGGCTTTCATACTTCAAACATGTAATCCTTATGACATCATCTTCCTTTGGATACCAACCACTTTGACCCTTTAACCTTGATAAAGTAGTTTGACCTACTTTTGAAAAACTTTAACCTTGGCCATAACTTTTGAATGGTTGGTGCTAGGGTTTTCATACTTCACATATGTAATCCTTGTGACAAGACCTTCCTTTGGATACCAATTACTTTGACCCTTTGACCTTGAGATAGGAGTTTGACCTACTTTTGAAAAACTTTAACCTTGGCCATAACTTTTGAATGGTTAGTGCTAGGGCGTTCATCCTTTACATATGTAATTGTTGAGACAAGACCTTCCTTTGGATACCAACAACTTTGACCTTGACTTTGACGTTTTACTTACTTTTAAAAAAACCTTTAACCTTCGCCATAACTTTTGAACAGTTGCAGTTCTTCGAGACAAGGCCTTTCTTTGGGTACCAACATTTTTATCTTTTGGCCTGGATTTTGACTTGCATTTGAGAAACTTTAACCTTCGCCATAAGCTGCCATACGGGGGCATCAGTGTTTCACAAACACATCTTGTTTTTTTTTTAATCAAATTGTTAAAATTTTATTCTATTTGACCTTCACAAGCTTCCAAAACACATTGCATGATGTTCTCCCGTCTTCAATATACCGAAAATGGTCTTGTTTTAGATCAGATTTAGATGCTCAAAAATTCCAAGGATCTTTAAGAGAACTTTTTTTATTTGAAATATTCAATGTTATAATACAAACATAAACATATAAAATAAACACAATCTTGTCATTGTAGTATTCATTTTTGTGAGAGAGCGAGAGAGAGAGAGAAAAGGAGAGAGAGAGGGGAGATGAGTTAAAAAAAAATGTGGGTGACCGGTAGCTAAATAGAGGAGAAAGCAAAGCTAAATAATTTAAAGACAGGGTTCATTAATGTTAGTATGAAGTATGGATTGCCATTTTTGCCAGGAGGTGTTAAACTCATTTATTTTATTGCATTCCCTGGCATGATATATTTCAATGACTTATAAAGAAATTTGAAATCATTTAGAAAACCATGGATAGAGAGTCAAAAGTTTTGACAACGAACTCTGTAAATGTATTGCTTTATTGACATAAGCAAAATATTTAAAGATTTTGATGATTTTGTATTACTTATATCTCCAAATATGAAAGTGTACAATCTTAAAGAGACCTTAAAAAACCACAAAATATTATGAAAATTTTAAATTGTTGAAATTTCATTCTTTTTGACCTTCAACAGACTCCAAAACACATTGTATCATGTTCTTCCTCTTTCAAAATAACGAAAATAACCTTGATTTGACGTTTGAAGGAAAATTAAATTTTTTGAAAATTTTAAATCGTTGAAATATTATTTTATTTGACCTTCAAAGGATTCCAAATCACACTGTATGTTCATCGCGTCAGTCTTTCAAAGTAACATCATATTTGGCATCTTTAAAAAATATTCAATTGTTTACTTTTAAACTTATTAATGAGCTCTTCCACCTAGATAATAACGAAAAATGACAGACATTAATGATTTTAAAGAGATTGAAATTTTATGGGGAATTTTAAATTTTAGTGTTTCCCTTTTCTGTCATAAATGCATTCAAACTAAATTGATTTGATGCTTCCTGTTTTCAAAGTATGTATAAGAAGTTGACCTTTTATGTGAACTAGTTTAAATTTCAACCTGTTTATTATTTAAATTGCCAGGTTGGAATTTTTTTTCCTTTTTTTTCTATGTAATAATGTATATTTCACGTCGCTGTCAATAACTTTTACAAGTGCTGTCAAAACCCTAACATACCTGAGCTCATATTTTATTTAAATTATTGTACTTAAACGATAAATAAATATACCATTGGAAAGGTCTCGTTAAGACGGTATTGGAAGTTTTAAAATCGGTCAAGAAATAGAAAAGTGATGAATTTTTTATGGCATCAAAGTATACCCTCCAAGGTTCAAAGACATTCCTACTAATTGTGTTCGAAACCTTTTATTTTTCGGTGTTCTGCAAATTAGAAAACCCAAGGAGTTCGCAGTAGCTCTGGAAGTAGCTCTGGAGAGATTTAGCGAGACTACAGTGAGATAAGGTAAATTATTCATGGAAATGTGGGTAGGAAG